TGGGAGGATTGTTGTGTCCGCACTTGCAGAAAGAACATAAATGAAAATAAATAACCCAGCATTGGGTTGGATGGTGGCACAGTCGGTTGTGCTTCGGTCTGGGCTCATTCCATGATGGTTCAATTCCATCTCCCATCCACAATTTTTCCACAGCATGAACATCGGACACTTCAATGAGTGTTGTGTCCGCACTTGCAGAAAGAACATAAATGAAAATAAATAACCCAACATCGGGTTGGATGGTGGCACAGTCGGTTGTGCTCTCGGTTTGGGCCCTTTCCGTGATGGTTCTATTCCATCTCCCATCCACACATTTTTCCACAGCATGAACATCGGACATGACAAGGATATACTCGTTTCCTGGTATATGTATTAGGTTTTTAATTTAATTTTTAAATAGTATCAATTTATTTAAAATTTTTGTGACAAAAAGTCATGTTATTCTGTGACTTCTTTATTCAATTTAAACAACAGACTCTATTTTTTTGCAAGCAATGCTAGATCATTGTTAACCACCTAATCTTAAGTTAATCTTTTTTTTTTCGAAAGGTTGGTCAGTAGAGCGGTTATATTGCAACAGTTATTCTATATCCCTATTTCCTCTAATTATATGCCCAGGCATTCTAAAGTTCGCTCCAAAAAACCTCGACATGCCCAAATTTTTCGTATAATTCGACTAGCGGTTGTTTACTTTTATAATATTTTTATATCTTGATATATACTTATTATTCATCTTCCTTTAAATTGTCATTCTTTTAGAGAAAATTTGCTAATAATTATTCTCTATTTTTAATAATGCCTTATTTTCAAACATATTAAGTTTTTTTTATTTTTTTTTGTAAAAAGGCAGGTTATACTAAGATTATATTGCTGTTGCAAGACTGTACTGAAATTTTTTGGAAGCAATGCTAGATCATTGTTAATTAGTCTCATGTTGATAATAGCTTGTAAAATTTCTGAGATTGCTGTTTTATCCTTTTTTACGTTAAGAATGATAGCTATGTGAAGGATACAAAAATCTCCTGGTATTTATTGTTGGGCACTTTCGAAAACACGTACGTACAGGTGCCTGGCCGATGATATACCGTGGCCACTGCTACACCTTTTCTTTTACTAGATGCCTATTAAATGTTTCAAATGATAGCGCTAACTCTTGTTCCTTACAATAAATTGTTTGGTAACTCAGCATAGGCATAGTTACCGTCGGTAAGAGTAATTGACTAGATTAAATAAAGTAATTGAGTTTTTTGGAATAGTACTAGATAATTACACAAATTAGAGTTGAGAGAGAGCTATAATTAAGGATTTTTCATCCTTTTAAAACGTTCTCTATTTTTTATCTATTTTTAAATAATATAATTTGTTTAATTTTTTGTGATAAAATAATCAAGTTATTCTAAGAAGAATATGTATTCGTGTTGAAGTTGGTAGAGCTAGAATTTTTTGGAAGCAATGCTAGATCATTGCTAGTTAGTCTTAAGCTAATAATGGCTAATTAAATTCATTCTATTAGCCAATTTCAAATATTCACACAAAAGTTTTTGATTTTTCGATTACTTTCTGTCGATTGTCTTCGACATCCAAAAAATATAACGCAAATTAAAATTTCGAATCCAATTCTCTACTTTAATATTAAAACATAAATAAAATTATATTTAAAATAATTAACACGTTTGTTTTATTCGCAAAGAAATTTTTGCTACCAGGAATTCTACCAACATTTTCCTTTCCTTCCTTTCTATTTTCTCATTAAATAATACGAAATGGTCATCAAGAGTAAAATTATTTAAAAGGCATCTATATTTCCGTGTCTGGTGATTTCGGCAGAAGTGACGTAGGCAGTGGTTAAATGGGCAGTGAGTGATTTAGGCTGAAAGGTGAATTGGGGAGTGAGTAATTTGGGCAGTAAACGATTTAAAAAAAATATTTTTCACATAAAAACAATTTGAGTATCAACAAAAAAATAAATATGCGTGATTTAGGCAGTAAATTTTATTCTTCAGGAATATGTTTATAACTAGGGCTCGGATTTGTATTGAAATATATTTTTTCCTGAATATATTATGCCTCCGGTCTTGTGCTGATCATTTACACTTTAAGATATACTTTTAAATTTGCGAGCATTAATAGTTTTTTAAAAACAATAATTTACTGCCTAAATCACTCATAATCTGATGACGGAACAGGATCATTGTGTACCGCCGTTTGTGTACCTGGCCGTTTGTGTACCGGCCGTTTGTGTACCCACCCAAAGGGGGACGTTTGTGTACCCGCATTATTTTTTTAGATTTTTTATTGTTTTTTTAAATTTTTTGTTTTTCTTTTGAGGTTTTCAACTAATTTTGACAATTAGTTGACCGATCCTCCACACAAGTCCATCCGAGCATTAAACTTTCTCAATGAGGACGAGAGGGAGGACGAGAATCTTGTGTAGGTAAAAGTTTAATTTTTATTTTTTAATTTTAGATTTTATTTTTAAGGTTGGTCTAAACTTTGCTCATCACGTGTCGGACTTCATCCCACGGCTGCAACGATGGAAATTTGATAAGGTTTGGAATTTTTATTTTATTTTTTAAGTTTTTATTCTCTAAAATTTTTTAGTAGGTTTCCGTCAGTTTCTGAAACAACGAAGGTGGTGAACCTGGGAGAACGTCGACAACAAAAATAAACCCTAACGGCCCTTCTTAGGGCCACAAATTTAATAAGTGAAGCGAGACAAGAAATTTTTGAAATTTTTTTGATAAAATTTTAAAAAAATTTTTTTTTTCTTTTTTCACATTTTGATTTTTTCACGTATCCGGGTAAATTTTGCCGGAGTCGGGTATTAGGTAATAGTTTTTACTGGAGTAATTTAAATAGTGCCCTCTACTCTTCGTAGCAGCACAAAAAGTTTTTACAGCAAAGATTCTGTTTGGTCATAACAGTGTTCAGAATAATTCAATCAAGCTGATTTTGATGTCATTCGACTCAACTCACCGAGCCCTTTCGAATGGGCTATCATTTGTATATTAAAAATTTTTCACCCAAAATTGAATTTGACCCCCTTTTTGCTTTGCAGTTCTTTAACTCGTTCCCCTGAATTCTGGATTGACTCAATATCACACCAGAATCCTTCTATTATCTCCCTTAATTATTCTAAATAAAATTATATCCTCTTTAATCCCTCCTAATCCAAAAAATAATGCGGGTACACAAACGTCCCCCTTTGGGTGGGTACACAACCGGCGGTACACAAACGGCCGGTACACAAACGGCCAGGTACACAAACGGCCGTACACAAACGGCGGTACATGAAAGGAAAATTTATTTTTTGCAGATTTTGAAGAGGAGGAAATATGTAGAAGACAATCCAGCTAATATTAAACTATCAAAAAACTCTCGTTTTGCAGGTTTCTGGAGTGTAAAACTAAAACTACATGAGAAGCGATTCTGGATAGGAAGGCTCCTGGAAAGAGATGAAAGAAAAAAATTTGAATTAAATTGAACCAAAAAAATTATGTTATTATGTTACGAGCCCAGACCCAACGCCCGTAGACTCCCCGCAGGCGCATGCCGCAAAACCCCGCGCGAAGCGCGGGGTTTTATGCCGCGCGAAGCGCGGCATATTTGAACTCAGCTCGGTGAGACGAATCGAATGGTATATAACTTGAGTTTCGATCTCGGTGGGCATATACTAAACCGACCCCGGGGGAGGCGCAGAGGACTTATGATTGACCAAATTAGAATAAATTAAAACATTTATCTCATATTTAAAATATATGGATTAAATGAGTTATTGGTTCAATGGAAATATAGAAATAATGGAAATAGTGATATAATAGGGATTAGGGACATTGACACTTCATAGGACTGAACACATCTGAACTCAAAACTGTCATTTGTTGTTCAGACCTTTGGTTAAATAGTGGGGAAAGTGGGAGGGATGAAATTGAAAATACAAAAGAACGTTCTGGGAAAGTTGGGGAACAGTGATTGGGATAATGTTGGGAAAGGAAGTGAATTGAAAATTGTTTACATGTTGAGAATGTTCGGGAAGGATAATGGATGGGAACGGAATTTAATAATAATAAATGTGTAAAAATAAAATAACAATAAATGTACAAATTTGAGATAGAGGGGAAGGATAGGATGGGAAAAAGTAAGTGTAATAAATAAATTGAAATGTGAATAAAGTCGGGGTCGGGACTTGTATAAAATAAAAGTATCGAGTCTCGATAATAAAAGTATCGAGTCTCGACTCGAGATTTGGTTAAAATATATTAGAAGCCTAATCAAAAAATGATTCTGAATTTTAAATAATTCAAGTAATACATCTCGAGACACGCAAGGAGTGAGCGAAGCTATAATAGTATTTTCAATATCTGATAGAATAATCAAAAAAATTTCTGCGGAGTTATAATCCTTAACACACCATATTATTAATTTTAAGTTCTTAATGTATTAGTGTATGTTATGTCCTGTATTTGGTATTTTAATTTGTTATCAATATTATTTATGTTTTTGCCGTCTCTTTCAAATTGTTCCCCCAAACCATACTTTAAATATAACTTCCTTTTGATCTTATTCAAAACATTGCCCTATAACTTTTACACCTTCACTTTCAACTATATATAATTTTCTTATCTAAATTGTAAACTTAACCTATTTCTTTATTTCCCGCCTATTCCAAAACCCTATAAATAGCCATTTGTAATTTCATTTAATTTGCGTTATTTTGAACTAAACTGAATAATAAAGATAGTTGTTTGTTAGAAGATTGTTCGTGAGTATAGATTAAAGAAATATTAAATCCGGGGACATAATATTGGTGCCACGACCCGACTAGTTTTTAGAACTAGACGGAGAATTCAAAAAGAATTTAAAAAAAGAAATAAATTGAAAAATGTCTGGATCTGATTTTGCACCTGAACTTTTTAGTTCAGAGGAAAAGAAATATTTAAGCACTATTCTTGTTCAATTGCGCTCCTTTGAACGTTCTGTTGCTAAAAGCTTCCGAAAGGTTGAAGGAAGATTAGAAATTATTGAAAAAAATATGAAAAAGAATCAAGATAGTTTAAAGGCAACTAAGGGTTCTGTAACTAAAGTGCGTAATTTCTTAAATAAGTTTAATAAAGATGTTCAGACAAAATTTGGAAAATTTGAAAATTTGAGAGGCAATACTGAAGATAAAGAGGAAGAAAAATTTGAAAATAGTTCAGTTGATGGATCAAATGAAACGAATGATTTGGTAAATATCGAAGAAAATTACCAGGAAATAATGACTATGGACCCGTTCTTAGGGAATGGAGCATTTGTAGGTTCTTGATGGTAATCCTACAGTGTCTTTTACAAAATGGGTAGAGAAGTTTAAAGATGTATTATCTTTAATGACCGAGCCAAATGAAGCAGAGAAACTTGCGCGTTTACGTTTCTGTTTATCCGGTCAGGCACGAATCGCCTTTGATAGCATAAACCCGCAACCAACTACATTAGCGGAGGCAATAGCTTACTTAAGAGCCAAATATGAAAATGGGAATCGTAAAGTTATTGCGCGCCAATTACTGTCTAACTGTAGACATACGCCAGGTGAATCGGTATTTGAATTTGCCAACCGTCTCTCCGATACTGTACGTACAGCTCTATCAGGGGATGACGAGGAAGCTATTAAAAAGAGATTATTAGATGAATTTCTAGATAGATTGATACCTGAGCTTCAGTTTGAAGTAAAAGCTCAGAGACCCCAAGATTACGCGAATGCATATGAAATCGCTTTAAATTATGAGTTACTCCTCGCTTCACGAAAGAATGCTTATAGTAATATTTCTGTTGCAAGTTGCTCTGAAAAAGTGGAAGCTTCTACAATTCGGAATGAATATCGCGAAACTAGAACATGTTATAATTGTGGGGTTCAAGGTCACATCTCTAGATTTTGTAGGGAACCTCGAAGATCGTGTTATAGCTCGAGGTATTATCGTCCTCAATATAATGAGAGATCCATTTATGGCGAAACTACTCATCAAAATTATAGAGAATATGAACAACATTATGGAAATAGAGATCATCAAAAAGCCAAGAATTCATATGGAAGATATAGGAGTAGAAATTCTGATAGTGATTCAAGCAATTCTAGAGATAGTGAACGAGAAAATTGGAGAAAACAAAAACGAGAGAATTATGGGAATCGTTCGCCAAATCGCACGCGATTTGAGAATTCGAATCCCAGAATTGGAGCTGTTAACCCATACTTGTTGGCTTTGGTTGCTTTGATTTGTCTTATATGAAATCAGCATTACATGTCCGAAACTTCAGAGAAGAAATGCTATTAGAAAAGAGATGTAATTTGAGGTCAAATTTCTTTAAAGGAGGGAGGAGTGTTATGTCCTGTATTTGGTATTTTAATTTGTTATCAATATTATTTATGTTTTTGCCGTCTCTTTCAAATTGTTCCCCCAAACCATACTTTAAATATAACTTCCTTTTGATCTTATTCAAAACATTGCCCTATAACTTTTACACCTTCACTTTCAACTATATATAATTTTCTTATCTAAATTGTAAACTTAACCTATTTCTTTATTTCCCGCCTATTCCAAAACCCTATAAATAGCCATTTGTAATTTCATTTAATTTGCGTTATTTTGAACTAAACTGAATAATAAAGATAGTTGTTTGTTAGAAGATTGTTCGTGAGTATAGATTAAAGAAATATTAAATCCGGGGACATAATATATATCATATTATATGTATAAAAATCACAAAACTAACCATTTTTCCTTTGTAGTAGTCAAATATTTCTCCTAGTATTTCTCTAGCAATAAGTGGTCCAGCATGACCTTCGATAAACCAAAAAAGAAGAATCTGAAGGAAAAATAAAAATTTTTAAATCGAAAAGTATTTAATAATGGATCTAGTAATAGTTGGTATTATCAGTCTGGTCGAACCAAGAGCTAAATGCTGCAACAACCTAATCTTCATTATTCCTTTTTAAGTAACCTTACAATAAATAACCCAATTATTCTAAATAAAAATCTAATAGAATTTATTATTATTCCTGACAATGGCCAAATTCATTATTCTTTTTAGAGAGCGAGATTTTCAAAAAACCTTGACCTTGATCCTTGACCTTGATTTCAGTTGGGTACCTTGACCAGATTCTTGACCTTGAGTCAAGGAAAAATCAAGGATTATTTTTGCCTGGATCCAGGCCTTGATTCTTGTTTTTTTTATTTGGACGTATATCAGGAGATTAAGTGGGATATGCTGGTATTTAAAGGTGGATATTATAGGATATAGAGATATTGCGGGATTAAGTGGATATGGAAGCAGATTTGACCGGATATCGAGGAATATAAGAGGATTTTAGACGATTAAAGGATATCGGTGGACTGAGTTGAATATCTGAGCTTTAGAGGGCGTAACAGTGATATTGTGTATTTGGGGGATTTGAAGGATATCAGGGGATTAAGAGGGATATGTGGACGATATACGGGGATATCCGTGGATCTCCGTATATTCGTCCACATCCGCGGATATCCCCATATATCCGTCCACATCCGCGGATATCCCCATATATCCGTCCACATCCGCGGATATCCCCATATATCCGTCCACATCCGCGGATATCCCCATATATCCGTCCACATCCGCGGATATCCCCATATATCCGTCCACATCCGCGGATATCCCCATATATCCGTTCACATCCTAGGATATTCACGTATATCCGTCCACATCCTAGGATATTCACGTATATCGTCCACATCCACTTTATCACTTTAATCCTTATCCTTCCATGGGGACCAAGGGAATACCAGGAGGCTACGTCCTTGATGGGGACTAACTGAGGTATATATATACTCAATCGTCAATTGAGGTGTACCGCAAGAAAACTATAATAGGTCTGCATAAAAAATAGAATAGAAAACATACATAGAGGGTAACACGACTTTTGCGCCGAGAACATTTGCGCCGCGACTTATGCGCCGCGACTTTTGCGCCGGGCGACTTTTGCGCCGCGACTTATGCGCCGGGACTTTTGCGCCTGGCGACTTATGCGCCGCGACATTTGCGCCGCAATTATTTTAAAAAAATAAAATAATAACTACAATCGGACCTTACCACTTGGGTTTAAAAAATTATCCAGGAACTGAAGGAAGTTCAGGAAGTACAATAGGGGTCCGGTAGCTGATGAATTAGGTCTGGGTCATAAAAATAGTATGCACTATAGTGTAGGGTTGTCGGATCCGGATATCCGAAGATTTCCAATTATCCGACAACCCTACTATAGTGAAGTCTAGCTGCACTTAATCATATATTTTTAAGAATAGTGGCGGCGCAAAAGTCACCCGGCGCATAAGTCGCGGCGCAAAAGTCGCGGCGCAAGAGTCGCGGCGCAAATGTTCTCGGCGCAAAAGTCACGTAACCACATAGAGATAAAGAAAAATGCTTCGCCAATTACATTCTGAAGGAGAAAAAACACGATTTTAATGGCATTTTGTTGATATATTGGGGGGAAAATTAATCAAGGAAATCAAGGAAAAAATTTGCCTTGACCTTGATTCTTGATTTTGGTTGGGTACCTTGACCAGATTCTTGACCTTGAGTCAAGGAAAAATCAAGGAACTCTGTAAAATGCCTTGATCTGGACTCTGGATCCAGGAAAAATCAAGGTCTGGATCCAGATCCAGCTCGCTCTCTAATTCTTTTATTTATGTACTCTTATGAGAAACATGTTATTTTATTATTATTATTATTAGCTTGTCGAAGTTGGCACCTCAAATCTTTAAAAAATAGCACGCGAAAAAAATAGAGTGGAGAAGAAAAAGAGAAAGATATTATTTATTTCAGTGCCACTGAAACGGCTGTTAGTTGCAGGTTATGTTGCTGTGACAAAGTCGGTATGATAATTTTTCTTTGTTATGCAAAGTTTGCTTTCGCTTTGCGTCTTGCGGTAGAAAATGACATTTTGAGACGGCTATACATAAGTAAAACAATTTAGCCAAAACAAGATTTCGTCTCACAAAAATATAGACTTCCTTCGTTGTAAGAGGCAATAGGTTGAACTACCATATACATAAATAAAAACACAAAGAAATTAATTAACATTATTTAGAAACGCATAAATCATTGCTAAAATTTGGTTGGGGGCTTGAGAATTTATTAAAAATTCTTTGGGCAAATTTTCTTAACAAATGAGAGTTCCAATTCGTATGTATTTTAGCAATGAAATGCATTACTTACAAAAATACGCTTTTACCACTACAAAAAACACTTGATTAACTATTGTTTATTTATATAATACTGAATATACAATTATAAATACTTTTCATTTATCCATAAGACCCTACAGTAAATAGACAAAAGTATATCGGAGGGTTTGCATGGATTAAGATAAATTGGAGTTATATTTCAAGGGATTAAAAGGGATATTTAGAGATTTGACGTGATAATTGTGATCAAGAGTTGTCTCGATCCACTCAAATCTCTCGTTCTCTACTTCATATCCTCTTAACACCTGTGTTTTAAAATCCAGTTTCAACCAATAATTTTCGGATATCCGGAACCGAACCGAAAAAACATCGGTTCTTCGGTTCGGTTCGGTCCAGAACCTACAACCCTAATCTAAACATATCTAACGTAAATCGCCAAGCAAAAATTCCACCCTAGCGTCCTTTTAAAGCGCAGGCTTTCCACGCCCGGACGCACCCCCAAAGCTTTAGTAGCGCGCGAAGCGCGCCCCAAAGCCGCCAGGCTTTCCAAAACAAAATTTCGGTATACGACACAGACGCCGATTAAGTCGATTGTTATGTCATTCGTAAGAGCTCGTCGATAAGTTGAATGGATATAAGTCTCCGAAAATTAAAAAACCATATTGGGGAGTTGAGTCGAATGACACTAAAATTATTCCCCGGAAAAATTTTTATCAATTGACATAATCGGCGTCTGTGTCGTATACCTAATTTTTCCTATTTACTTTCTTTAAATCCTATTGAAAAATTAAATGTCGAAATCCCAGTCGGAAAGCATTTTAAAAATGATTGAAGTTACACAATTTAGCCAAAACTAAAGTCTGGCTCTCAAAAAATTCCTTTACAGTAAAACAATACAACATGAAAAGTAATCGTTTATTAACATAAATATAAAAAATTAATAAATTAATTAACATTATTTAGAGAATGTTAATAGACACTCACAAAGGAGAGGCTTTTGGGTGTCCGTGGGACTTCGGGATGAAATTTGGTAGACAGGTAGAATATACCCTTTCTATTCTCAAATTTGAACCATTTTAGCAAAATGGTACCGGGAATGGTACCGGGGATATTAATT